TTTATATACGTTTTTTAAAAGCGTATAAGATTAATCGTGTGATATGGCATGGTATGGTGTGATCCTCAGCGTGATTAGATTAATAAAAATAATATTTGGCTGATAAAATTTTGATCAATTCACGCTATGAACGTAAAAACTTTTTGTAGACATTGGATCATTATTATTTAAATTATGTAGCTGATAAAATTAATAATCGCAACTAAGACTTATCTTTAAGTAAATTATTTAGCAATTATTGCTTTTTGTATTATGAGTTAAGAGTTTTCATATTTTTGCGTATTATAAGTATAATACAATTATAATACTATTACTGTTGAAAAATAAAATTTTATTTTTTTAAATAGTGCAAGTAGTGGGTAGTGGTTCACTGTTCATTGAGTGTAAAAAACATTTTGAAAATTGTACGCTGTATAGAAAATGCTGATAAAGACATTGAACGAAAATATCATTTAGGTTTCTACAGTATTTTTGTTCTAGAAAAGATGCTGTTGAAGGAGCAAAGAAAATCGAATGACTTTCATTCTCCCAAACACACTCTTCTCTGTGTGAACCATATATTCACCTCTCTGCTGAGAATACAAAATTTAAATTCAATAATCACTTTGTACGAAAAACGATTCTGAACGAAGACTGTCTGAAGTCTATAATCTTACTTAGTAAATTGTATGATGACATTGTGATTTAATGTCATTTGTTTTACTAGGCATTATCACTAGAGTAAGTTAAATTTTTTTTAGCCAATCAAATTCAATGAGAATATGTAATTATGATGTGTAAACCGTATACAAAAAAATAATTTATTTTTGCCATTATTATTTACGTGTCTTATGATCACAGAGTGTATTATTATTTAATCATATTTTTGTATAATTTCATTTTTGTAATTTGTATTCAGGTTTATTTATCAACCATGTTCTATGATTTTTTAATTTCAAACCCACCTGCCCAAATTTAGAGATTACATTTTCAAAAACTTAAATATTTGTATCATTTTAGCTGTAAACTGTGCTCATATAAACTTCTTTATATACGAACCAATAATGTGTATTTTACAAAATTAAGAGCAATATATAAAATACTATAAACTGACTATAAGCGCTAATGGCCAAACAGTAAAATCAAAGTAATCTGTAAAAAAAAATTAATAGAAATTTACCCATCGTGTTATTTTAATTGTGCTTTATAATTTATTTCACTTATAAACTAATTAATTATTTTGGGAGGGAACCCCGTCGATAATTATGGTATGGTGTGTTTGAGTGGAACTATATTAAGCATTTTAAAATGTCCATTTAACATTATGCGAGCTCCGTGACCTATATGCTACAGTGCGTGATTAGATATTTATTTAATGTTTTGTACATAAACAATTATCGTTATATTACAATGATCACGCCACCCAGCCGTCCCACTTTGAATCGGTCGGTGGCAGTGTATATAAAGGTGTCCGAGATCTCGATTCCGGCATAACACATCCTTTTGTGCAGATATATTCTTTGGTAAGTACGAAACGACAGCAATATTGTTTCATTTCGATTTCAAATTAACAACATTTTTTTTTTAGTTTTCACTTTAACCCTCAAAAACCAACCAAAAACCAAAAATGGGCGC